AAGGCTAAAGAGATGGAAAAGGCAGCGGTGATTGGTAACAATATACAGTTATTTAGACTTATTAAGGAAGCTGGGGGGGGGGAAGACAACAGCAGTTAGTGAGGCTATAGCGGAAAAGGATGGATCTGTGATTCACTCGCAGAAGAGACGACTGGATCGATGGACAGAACACTTCGAGGAACAGTTTAACTGGCGTCCTGCCACCATTGCGTTGCCTGCTATCAAGTCGAATCCTGAATGGAAAACTGAGTTAGGTCCCCCAACACTAAGAGAAGTTGAGAAAGCGGTAGGTAACCTGCGGGCGTGTTAGAGCCTATGGTGAGATGTCAGGTGAGCTGTACTCATCGAGTGGTGTCCGTCAAGACTGCCCACACTCTCCATTCTTATTTAATTTTATCGTGGGTATTCACATGGAGGTCTCCGTCTCGTCACCTGATAATAGAGACGTTCACCTAATCGCAGGAGAATTTTCGCTAGACCTAGAATATGCAGATAGCATAGTCCAGTTGGGTGAAGACGCTGACAAGGTGCAAAATCTTCTGAACACAGTGGGAATTTGAGAATTTTAGGATGCGTTTCCCATCACCCAATTCAAAATTTTCCTCCAGGAGTAGTCTTCAACGGCGCCACAGGTTATGATAGAGAGTGTAGTGTTGATCACTACACTTACCTGGGAAGTAGGATCAGCCCTAGTGGCTGGCTCAGTGGTCGGTAAAATCGTGCGAATATTCCTTCAAGTCGCCAACAGAATTCTTGGAAAGGTCTGAAGGCGTTCACATAGCACTGAATTAATGGTATCCTTTAGTGTCACATATGAATTAAACTTCGACTGGATAAGGACACCATATATCTCTCCTCACTGACGATACAAGGCTCTCGGAACGCCCAAATCTTCAGTGTTCAAGTCTGTTGGAACTCAATGATCTTTTTCTAACAGTAATGTCTAGCGAAGGTGCACACACTACGAGGCATCATTTTAACGGTCATGAAACCGAAAATTTGGATCCGCTACGTGGGCGATACATTTATTATCATTAAAAGGGGTGAATTAGAAAGCATTCATAACTTGATAAACAACGTTTTCAATGATGTCAAATTGAAAATGGGGGATGAATCGAACAACAACTAACTATGTTAATTTGATTAGTTGTGGCTAGCAGAGGTCGAACAATTCTATCCAATAAAACAACGGAGAATTACAAGCTTATCAATAAAAACCTGCTGTTCCTGGATGTTCTAGTCAGTAGAACCAATGCCGGAAAATTAGAAACTCAAGTGTCCAGGAAGTCAACACACACTGATCAAATCTCCGACTACAGTACCAATAACCCAACAACGCGCAAAATTAGTTGAGTACATACCCTATTCGAAAGAGCGGAAACATGCTGCAGTAGAACAAATACACGAAAAACGAAGAAAATTACTTGATATCTGTCCTAAGGGAGAACGGTTACCCACACAACTTCACCCGAAGATGCCTATCCCGTTCATTAGCTACGTCCATGGAAATCAGCAAACAGATCATCCTACTACACATGAAGAACATATCGGAAGTTATGACAAGACTACTGAGATCATTTAGAATTGTTGTGGCTCATAAACCAACAAGTTCTATCCAGAAAAATGACTGCTTAAGCAAGGAAATATGTTCCTTTTCAATTAGATCTTCGTTTTTGGTTCTACATTAGTAATAAGATTTAAAATTCATATCGGAATACCAACCAATCAACAATGATTACAGATTTTAAGTAAGTCATGAAGATAGTGAATTTGAGAAATCAATATGCAACTTATCAATTGGGTAATTGTACTTCCGTCGTTACTCTGGGTGTTCAGTGTTTGCGCTGTCAAACATCTGACATCCTGGTTAAGTTTTGTGAAAAAGACCATGAACAGCTCTATATTAGCCCGCTTAGTGCAACCGAAGCATAAGGCGGATATGAACAGGTCATTCTCCACTATTTGCCGGGTTCCCATCCACTTGTTAAAAGGCACCTGGCTCCATTTCCTTTAAACTGCAGAAACGGAGGCAATCATCATTAAACAAAACGAGTTTTGTGTTCGGAAAAAGTAGCTGTTGCCTCATTTTGGATTTAAAAATCCCTTAGCATCCTACCCGTGTAAATCGATTTTCAAATTGCACATTGTAGGTATCCTCTCATCCCTATAACGTGAAATCATTTTATCACATTCCTTTAACTTATTTTGTTCCCTGACATGAGCAACATTTTAATAAGCTGTTATTCCTCAAATTGTCTATCTTCATTTATCGGATCCCACTTTCATGCCCACCCTCCAATTGTTTTATCAAATTATCACCTCATAGTATTACATAAGCCGTATGATCGTTTATATAGTCATGAATTATTTTGAAGAGAATTCTTGTAATAACTTATTCTGACATTACCATGTGAACAAGACTTTTATGAAGAGGATTCCTCAACTGTGCAATATTATTGACAAACTGTTAAAATAAATATCACCATCGTTGATGCGAAATTACACAATTGGACAAAACCTCAGGACCTGAAAAAGTTGTCGAAAAGAATATTCTTTTTTCATTCGAATGACTTTTGACTTTGTTGTTTGGTGGTCTGGTATGAACCAACTGGCTCTTCGATTGTGCGAATTTTAGTTAGCAGAAGATCTGAATTTCATCCCGAGTTAGTCACATAGGAGACTAAGAAGGGTGGTATTTTCAGTTCTGAATTTCGAGGATGGACCTGCACATTCGATTCTCTATGCAACTATTTCCACAGAAGCAGTTGAAATGGCGAATGCATAAAGATGTGGGAGGTCCAGGCAGCCTATCATTGTTTGATTCACCTAGGATCGAATGACTTTATTTGACGCGAAGTGAAATGTTCTTTGTGGGACTCTGCTTATAGGTTGCTTGGTGATCTCACTAAAAATTTTAACGCTGAATTCCAGGTACAAGGAGATCAGTTTCTTAGGTACCGTTGAAATTCTTGACTTGGCCCTCGTAAAATTTTGATCAAACCACATTGTGCAGAACAAAGGATGCAACATTTAAGGAAGACAAAGTAAATATCGTGTGCGAAGATAACTGCGATCTGCGCTACGTTGGACAAAGTGGTCACCCTCCTCACTTTCATTTGGATGAACACCAGTTGGCAATTAAACATCAGGTCATTTCATCTCTCATATGGACAACTATGGTCCTGAATTCGACTATGAAAGTTTAGAGATCTTTGACAGGGGAAACACAAGCAACACCAGAGAATTTCTAGAACATTGGCATACCGACCAATCAGAAATCAATAGGTGTATGGAAATAAGCCCAATCTATCAACTAGTACAAAAAATGATTAAAAACTACAAGCTCAGGGGTAGGCAGAGAGAACACCAAAACGAAAATCTGTGTATTCAATGACACAGTAATCAGAGATTGCCAAACACGAAACACTTCTTCAGAATGGGGTACAGAATTATTGACGGAGAAATCATATTGAAGTTAGTGTTGACGGCATGCGAAAGGATGATGAAAGTTCCCCAACTAAACCATTCAGTACAGAGAACGCAACACAACGGTAATCAGTCACAATGTAAGCTTCATTAGTTTACTTCAATGGTGAACTATGACTCGATTATTTGGTCGAGTTTTATCAGGTGACCGATTCGTGTAAACAGTTAATCGTTCATAAACAGAATATTAATTTGTTACGGAAATTTTGTTGAGTGTTAGTTAGTCGTGTTACTGAGTACCGCTTCTGATGGAGCAACGTTCTTTTCTTTCTTTGCTATTTACAATTCATCATTCGCGCTCGTCAACAATATCCTCATTTGTAGTCCCACTCTTGTTTCTGTGTGGTGCTAATATCATAAACTACTCTGTACTGGTATTGCATCCGTTCACAAAGTAGGTAAATCGCTTGAGTAGGCGGGACGATACTATGATAGTTTTGAAACTAAGTAAGTTTATACAATTGATAAACTCAAACTGCATCACATTTACATACAGACTAGTAAACTTGAAATAACCACAGGTTACATAGTAAACACAGATAAACTCTTCATTTGAATAAAAACAACCAGAAAAATAAATATTTTTCTAACAGTCTTTTGAATGACTCATATCTTATAGAGAAGATAATCTCATAAGGAGGTGTGCAAATTGGAAAAAATTGAATTCGAACTGATTTACCTACACTAAGAATTTTCTCGACATCAGGGATGGATTCAGTTAGATCGTCTAGGTAGATTCCTCCTAGTCCTTTAAGTTCCTGACGACGAAAAAGTTGATAGAGGTCCTTGCGAGTACGAATATTATATCTCGGCCTGAATACAAATTTCGTCAGCGACTAACTCAATTGTGATAATTTAAGTTCCCAAATAAAAAAGTGCTCAACGCACTCCACCATTCCACTCACTATCCCTAATCTGGGAGTCGCTGAATACCAACCACTCTTGAAGCATCGTCTTACATTTGACAGGTGCAAAGCACATGCCAAGGCTACTCAGACTTCCGTTCAAGGCATTCGGAAGACTCTGTATTTTGTCAGCGTCTTTGCCTAATAGAACAATGTCGTCTGCGTACCCCACACCAACCAGGTGCCCTCTAGAGAGCAGGTGAAGCTCTTTATTGAAACTCACACAGTCGCGTCGGGGCTTGTTAGGAGGTGGTGTCCAACAGGAGTGCCCACTGCTACCGTTATTGTCTAACTTGCTTTTAGATGTACTAATGGATATAAACTCATATCTTCGAATTCACGGGAATCGATTGACCTGCCCTCTGGAGGGCACCTGGTTGGTGTGGGGTACGCAGACGACATTGTTCTATTAGGCAAAGACGCTGACAAAATACAGAGTCTTCTGAACGCCGTGAACTGAACTGATTCATTCATTTCTGAGCATTGCATTACGTCGTAATGCAGGTTTAATGAGATTTTTTTTTTAAATGAAATTCAGCCTAGTACGTTTTTTCATTTGTCTTACTTTCTGAGGTTTGATATAGACTAAATTATGTATTTCATTTTCAGGTCCCTCTGGGTGTTGGGATAGCGCTGCGCATGAAACACCGTGGAGAAAATTCGGTGTCTGTTACGCTTTATGGAGACGGAGCAGCTAATCAAGGACAGGTGTTCGAGGCCTTCAATATAGCCAAGTTATGGAATCTTCCTGTGATATTTATTTGTGAAAACAATAAATACGGCATGGGGACAGCAGTGCATCGTGCATCGGCTAACACGAACTATTACACTCGTGGAGATTACATTCCTGGATTGTGGGTATGAAATACCATTTTGATAATTATGCAAATATTTTCGTATTTGTTATTAACAGAAATGTATGCTACATATTATGTAGTGACAAAACTTTCCTGGTTACAAGGCTACTAACTAATGTCTTTTTTTTATAGTGGTGGTATAACAGTTCACTCATCTACTAGTCAAGCAGTTCTTGTGCGGTTTACACTCAGCTTCACTTTAATTTTATTTTGATGCAAACGTTTTTGCTTGACTGTGATTGTTCATTAGTCAATAAACTAAGAATCCTGTTCTAGACGAGACGAGTACAGCTAGGAAAAGTTGCAAGCTTCGTCTACTCAATCCAGTTTTGTTTTTTTATTCTCGTTCGCCTCTGGATAGGTCGATGGCATGGATGTACTAACCGTTAGAGAAGCTGTTCGCTTTGCTGCTGACTGGTGTCGTTCCGAAAAAGGACCTATACTGTTAGAAACAGAAACCTATCGTTATCATGGTCACAGCATGAGCGATCCCGGGACCAGTTATCGCACACGTGAAGAAGTTCAGTCAATGAGACATGGCCGAGATCCTATTGCTCTGTTCCAAAAAAATATTGTTGATATTGGACTGTGCACACAAGATGAAGTCAAGGTAAAGTGGTTTGTTTGAAAACTGCATGCAACCTTTATTGTATTTCGAACTAAGTTCTCTTTGGTAGAACATCTCATCAACCAGTGGTTTCACTTCGTATGCTATGTAACTGAACACGTATTACTGTCAGAAGTAAATAGCAGTAGTGGTAGTAGTAGTGATAAGGGGAGTTGGATTCGGTACCTTGAGGCCATATTCATGAAATCTGTCCTCGCTTCATCCGCTACTTTTTGTTTGCCTTATCTAGAAATGAAAGAAAATAACCATGTCACTTGCTACGATAGCGAATCATTTTCGTCCAGCAAATTTCGCTATCTCATCCCATCCACACTGTAAACACCCACCAGTAATTGAAAATCCATTACATTTAACTTTTAAAGTACCATTTGGTAAACTTACTGAATCTAAACTGGATATCCATATTGTTAGAAGGCACATGGTGAAAGTAAGAATGTGCATAGGGAAGTGGATGAAAGAAAATGATGTTAATTGTCATCAAGTAGGAGCATCTCGGTTGTACAAAAGTGGATAGGACTTGAAGCACATCTTCGAAACTTTCAACATTTACACCCACCTTTCTTTTTCAAATAATGTCTCTTACAACAAACTATTATCCACTATAATATCATCTGTTTTCAATCCGGCAGTGATACTGTGATAGCTCGAATCGATACACTTATGCGCATGGCTTCATGTTGAGTATGTCTACCTGCTTGTCGATGCAACGTTGATTGAAAAACCAAAGTCGTCAAGCGTTCCAAGTTTGAGTAGTCCAGTTTTCAAAGGTACAGAGTATAACTTCCCGCACTTATGCGTTGCATACCAGATCTTTCGCGGCAAGTCTCATTCTATGACGGTACCAAAAGTGATCCAAGCTGTCACACTAATCTGGCTTTCGATATACGCTCGGGAATCTCATCAGTCAAACCTCGACCAGCAACCACACGACTACCTACCTACCTAGGTATACACACAACGTCCACCGACATACCAATAAGGGTGAGTGCAAGTAAAAGCTCCTGCCAATGGTGTAGAAGCACTTCGCATGAACCACATGCCTTACTCACAGACGTTGATTGAGTACGATTTGGGCAGCTTGTATTTTGCCGAAAAGGAAAACTCCCCTGTATACTCAAGATCAAAGTCTCTCAGCTGGTAACACACTCACACTTTCATAACTTTTTTGAGAATATCATCGATGGAGAAGTTGAGAAGGGAATGGCGAAATAGGCCAGTCTGCCTAACCCACTGCTGGTTTAGGAAAGTGGGGATAGGTGGATGTATGACTTATTCTGTCCAAGTTGTTGAACTTCATGGTTCTCAAGAAAACAGCAGGTTTATCAATGACACTCCTGTGAATAGGGGACTTTTCAAGAGTGCAAACTGATCCAACGAATCTGAAAATGTTGTTCGGCAAACAATCTTATTCATAGACCAGCTTGCTGAAAGCAGGATTGTTGCTGCCGGCGGCTCAAACGTGCTGGAACAGCGTCCGGCTATCGCTAGATGCAGCTGCTGCTTTCATCTCACTCGTGCGTTCTGAATTGCAGTCCTCGCAGTTTTTGAGATGACTATATGCTGGTGGCTCGCGGGTTTGAACCCTGCCTCACCTACGAAGATTTTGGCAACCTTCTAGTATCGCAAGCGCTCACACAAGAGTTATGGCTAATTGGCCACTGCAAAGATGTGCACAAGTCGACTAAATGCGTTTCGTTTTCGTTACTCGGATGTATTATCACCCTCTGTAAGTTACTGAAAGCCCAACAATTTGTCATGTCAACCAGTTGTGTATTATATATATATATATATATATATATATATATATATATATATATAAGATCTCTCCTAAACACTGGTTATTTCAATTCTTAAAGTGATGAGTTGCAAAGTTAACTAATTTTAGATATTCATAGGGTGTTCACATGATTGCACTTACTGCACTTCTTTTTATAGGAAATCGAGAAAAAAGTACGAACCGAGGTGGATAAAGATGTAGAAAAAGCTATCAATGATCCCGAACCACCTTTAGACACTATGTTTGGAAACATTTACCATGGGATACCTGAAAACTACAAAGTTCGTGGCTGCGATGTAAAAACTTGGGGATCAACATTTGTTACAAAGTGGTAAAGGTGTGCACATTTGTGGATGTAAAGGAAGCTGGTCTGTTTCTGCACTAAGTAGTCAGGTCCGTAGAATGTTATGTTATATACATGGGAAACAAGTATGTCTAGTTACACTTTTGTGACAGGGCCTGCATACCCACTAAGTTATCTTGTAATTTCTTTTCTCTGAAATGCAGTATTTAACTTTAATTTTGAAATCAGTCTTCGTTTTACGCTTTGGTAATAAAGAATATGCGTTTTCGTTAATTTTGCGGTTACTCTCACGTGATCCTGCAGAATGGAAATTAAAATGTATGGAATAGGGGTAGAATTGCAGTAGTTCCCACAAGTTAAATGCACTGCAAACTTATTTTGTGGCTAAAGTGAATATGAATGGAGTACGCAAAAACACTAAACAGTTATCTACCTTTGTTATGCTGTATTAACTTTGTGAAAGCTTACATTTGTTTTGATTATTACTGAATTCTGACATATGGCATTCACTAATCCATAGCTGTATTTGTTTCAAAAAAAGAGAAGGCTATCCAGAATCTGTTGGAAAATCGGTGATATCTTTTTCTGCTGACTTTTTCCGCGTATTCGCACTGGAAAATTATGTGCTAGCAATGAGTCTTATTTCAATTGCTCCACTTTTTATATGTCTCGAGACTGATCATAGTTGCTCACATATACTCACTCCCTAACATAGTCGTAGTTGTAAGCATTATATAGACCTTCATTTTATTCATTCTCGTTCCGCCAATATCTTTCATGCATAACAAAGTGAGCATTCTGGCAGAATATTTAGTCTACACCGGAAAAACAAGCAAACAGAGTAGCTAAATTACATCAAAAACGTAGCAAAACCTATGGATTTCCACAACGTCATCAGAACTGATTGTTGCGAGAAGACTCATTTCAGCTGACCATGACGACAATGAAAGGTGGAAGCAGCTCAGGTGTGGATAGACTAAGAGTTTTCGCAATGATTGCTAGCAGTGGTACTCGACGAAAGCACGAGAAGTGGAGAAGGCATCAGCATTACGTAATACTAGGCAACTACTTAGACTTATTAAGGATACTAAAAAGAAGAAGACAATGGTTGGTAAAACCATTGCTGAAAAGGATGGGACGCTGATAAACTCCAAGGACGGGTGACGTAGACGTTGGGAGGAACATTGAAAAAGAGTTCAGCTGGTCTACAGCAACACACCAGTTGCCCAGAATCCACGCCAAATCTGAATGGCACGTAGATTTTGGTCCTCTAGCCCTAACTGAAGTTGGGAAGGCTGTTGAAACCTGAAACCCTGCAAAAGCCACACAACTTGGATTTTTATGGTGTAGATAGATAATTATCGAGTAGAGTAGTGGAGGTACTCAGTGGTGTATCTGGATCACAGGTTGTCCCATCAGAGTGGTTTGTGTTAGTGACCATTCCAGATTATAGGAGCTATGAGAAGTCTTCTTCGGACAACCGTAGAAAGATCACTTTAAGTAACATTGTGTACAAAAGCTTATGACCAACAGTTCAACGACGCTTAACTGTAGCTCGACACCATCAAACTGAAGAAAGATGGGCAGGTTCCAGAAGTGGAGGAGGTTCCTTGTTCAAATCTTCACCCTTCAACAGGTTTCAGAACATAGGAATGCTTACTGGAGCCTGATACTAGCCAAATTACCTGACCTGAAGATGACGTCAAACTCCATCGACCGAGAGACGCTGTGCCAGTCCATGTATACGACGATTGTACCGATCAATTATGTGATGCTAATGAAAATTCTTTATTGAAACTCACACAGTCGCGTCAGGGCTTGTTAGGAGGTGGTGTCCAACAGGAGTGCCCACTGCTACCGTTATTGTCTAACTTGCTTTTAGATGTACTAATGGATATAAACTCATATCTTCGAATTCACGGGAGTCGATTGACCTGCCCTCTGGAGGGCACCTGGTTGGTGTGGGGTACGCAGACGACATTGTTCTATTAGGCAAAGACGCTGACAAAATACAGAGTCTTCCGAATGCCTTGAACGGAAGTCTGAGTAGCCTTGGCATGTGCTTTGCACCTGTCAAATGTAAGACGATGCTTCAAGAGTGGTTGGTATTCAGCGACTCCCAGATTAGGGATAGTGAGTGGAGTGGTGGAATGCGTTGAGCACTTTTTTATTTGGGAAGTTGAATTATCCCAGTTGCGTTGGTTGCTGACGAAGTCTCAGCTCGGATGCAAAAGGTCTGTTTGGTATTTTTTAACTTGCGTCATCTGGGACTCCGGGGAGATATCCGGCTACCTACACAAAGGATGAGTACACTGGGCTGCAGTGGGCTCTGTCCTATTCTACGGCCGTGAGACATGGTGGCTGAAGAGAGACTGTATGAAAAGGTTAGAGGTTTCTGACTACAGGTGTCTTTGCGCTACTACTCATTTATGGTGGAACCGCCGTGTGAGCGACGATGGAGTTTAGTCAGAGGTTACTACACGAGGAAGGCAAGTTATTCAATTCACAGACCAGCTCGCTGAAAGCAGGATTATTGCTGTCGGTGGCTCGGACGAGCTAGAACAGCATCCCGCTATTGTCAGATGCGCCTGCTGCTTCCATCTCACTCGTGCGTTCTGAATTGCAGGTCTCGCATCTTTTCACAAATGCCCTCTCATCTGTTACTAGGACGACTTATGCACACCATTGTAGTCGCTGTCTGCTGGAATACATCGAGAAGGAGTTTGCAGAGACCCATTGTTTATCACCCAGATGTTCTTCAAAGTCACAAGCAGTGTTACTCCGCGTTTTCATGGCGTCGTTTTAATGCAGACAGTCCTCACTTATACATTCTGGAGATCCTTATGCTAGCCAGGATGACGCGTGGTAAATCATTGGGGATGGCTATGCTGTAAGTTACAGCTGACTAAAAGCAGACTGAACTATGCGAAAAGATACAGAGGGTATTATCAATTATCTATAGGTGGTCAGCTGAAGCGAAGGGTGCGTGTCGGAATGGCTTTCTCACATATCTAACTAAAGGACACCTTGCTAGAAGCAACTGTTTAGTAACTTGGGACGATGTAGACAGATTAGATTTTTAGTCAGTGATGAGTAGTTGAGTGAAGCAAAATGTTTAAAGATAAATTCTAAAATGATAATGAAGAGGTAGCATACCTTATCTGTAAAAATAACGGAGAAGTAAACGTAATGATGTGAATAATTAGGTAGAAAACCTGTCAGAGGGAGATTTGGTAATCGCTGTGCATACTGTTGTTTCTATTTCAAAAAGTGTATCTGGGCTCCGATACTCCCCGGACACTTAGACTGAAGCACGTGGTTGTCTTAAGAGACCAATTTCCGAGCCTTTAAGTTTAGTCCGCAAGGAGCGAAGCGACGTAAGATGCTGCATTCCCATGTTTTCAGGTAACCAGGATGCGTTCACACTCCATTCCTCCGTTCAAGAACGTGGAGCTCACATACACCAGTGGTTTGGAATCAGGGTTTTCCAAATCTCCTAGGTATATAACAATCCGGTGATAAGTCTTAACGTTCACACCCTTTGAGACACTCTTTGCACGTAAAGACAGACTTTATGAACTCGCCTATGGGATAGCATTGAGAGAATGGGGGTCATTTTCGTCTCATGGTCACACAAATCTCTTCCAGGTACCTTAAGAAGAAATAGCCTTCCACGGTGTAGGCAGCCAAGAAGCGTCGACCGCCCTCACTATTTGACCACCATTTAAGTTTCTTCAGACTGCTATCCACCCCCTCCCTCCATCATTACCTTCTAATCTTCCTTCACCTCTCTCAATTAACGATACTACATCATCTTTAATTTCTTCTAGCTCTCTGCAGCCTTCGACAACGATCTGAATCCACAGAACAGTATCCTTGGTTTTCCTGAACCACATTCCAAGTTACATATTGGAGCCTTCAATGTCCGCACCCTCCGTCAAATTGGTCAACAGGCTTCATTGGCAAAGATTCTAGCAACTCTGGTTGTGGAGGTATGCTGTGTTTGAGAGACTTGCATACAGGACCCAAGTGCGGTTATTCACCTGACCCCTTCCGACCAATATGGTGAATCCGCGAAACTCACCCTTCGAGTTTCTGGAGATTCGGTAGCTAGCTCTCGCGGTCTTGTAGGTGTAGGCATAGCACTGAGCACTAGGGCAGAAAACTCACTACTAGACTGGATCCCAGTTGATAGTCGTCTTTGCTCTATCCGACTGAACGGCACAGTGAGAACTAAAAGGATTAGTGAAACTTGCCGCTGTCTCTTTTTAATCTCTGCTTACGCACTGACTGCAGTTCGGATGAAGTGAAGGAAGAGTTCTACCGTAAACTGTCTAACCTCCTCTCGAAAGCCAAACGTTCGGACGTGGTGGTTGTTGCAGGTGACTTCAATGAACAGGTGGATAGACTGAGTGAGGCAGAAAGGCACTTAGGTGGCACTTTCGGAATCCCAGCTGAAAGTACAGATAACAGTGATCGTCTACTACAACTATGCTCAGATAACCGCCTATTTTTGGCTAGCACAAATTTCAGACACAAAGAAAGACACTGTCTGATGTGGCGTCCACCTAGCTCAACTCAGCGATAGACACAGATAGACCACATTGCTATTAGTCATCGCTGGAGAGGATCGGTGGAAGACTACCGCTCCTTCTGGAGTACGTGTTTGGATAGCGATCATGCGTTGGTCCGAGCACGTATATGCCTGCGTCTCAATGGACGTAGAAAAAATTTGGCCACAAAACCACTACGAGTGCTGCTGGAAAACGGAAACACCAAAGCCGTGTTCAGTGAGAAGTTGGCTACGCAGTTATCGGGACAGAACACTATCACTCAGGAGAAGGTTGGTGCCATCTCCAGTCTGCTGTAAAAGCAGCGCTGAAGACCGTAGCCGACTCCAAAATAGTGGCTAAAAAGAGTCAGTAGATATCAGCAGCTTCTTTCGAAATAATGGATGCACGTGAACGCATCCCTTCAGGCTCTGAGTACAATGAAGAGCGAGCACAACCTAAAAGTAGACTGACAAAAAGTCTACGCAACGACCGCGAACAGTGGTGGGCAGCGAAGGCTAAAGAGATGGAAAAGGCAGCGGTGATTGGTAACAATATACAGTTATTTAGACTTATTAAGGAAGCTGGGGGGGGGGAAGACAACAGCAGTTAGTGAGGCTATAGCGGAAAAGGATGGATCTGTGATTCACTCGCAGAAGAGACGACTGGATCGATGGACAGAACACTTCGAGGAACAGTTTAACTGGCGTCCTGCCACCATTGCGTTGCCTGCTATCAAGTCGAATCCTGAATGGAAAACTGAGTTAGGTCCCCCAACACTAAGAGAAGTTGAGAAAGCGGTAGGTAACCTGCGGGCGTGTTAGAGCCTATGGTGAGATGTCAGGTGAGCTGTACTCATCGAGTGGTGTCCGTCAAGACTGCCCACACTCTCCATTCTTATTTAATTTTATCGTGGGTATTCACATGGAGGTCTCCGTCTCGTCACCTGATAATAGAGACGTTCACCTAATCGCAGGAGAATTTTCGCTAGACCTAGAATATGCAGATAGCATAGTCC